TTTGCATTACACGTGGCAGCTCCAAGCGCCTCCTTCAAGCCTCTCCGTCACCTCACCTATTCCGGGCGGGATACCCTTTGGCCCACCGACGTCAGGTGAGGTGATGGCTCAAGCAACGCAAGTTGAACCTCAGGATAGTTGGCCTGAGGTGTCAAGTTAGTGTCAAGACTCAAGTGCGAGCTTGTTTCGATCTACCCACCTGTTCCAGGGAAGGGATTTATTTTGGCCCCCCTCCCCGTTGAAGACAGACGTGTGGTAAGATTCAAGCTCGAACGAACCCCAGGAAGTATTTTGGTCTGTGGGTTCTTACCCATTCCACGACCCGCTATAGAAAGCGGTTTCCCTACGGCGAACAAGAAAAGGGGTCGAAAGAGCAAGAAACCGTTAGCCACCGAAGGGGTATATAGTACCAGGTGCACTGCTCTCGACCCAGTCGATTGAGCCCAAGAAACCCTGGGCCCGAGTGAAGCATATCCACTCGTGGGCTCCAAGTCCCTCCATACAAGACCAAGTCTTTAAGTCTTCTGCGTCTAACGAGGAGCAAGACCAGCCAAGCCGACGGGTACACAAGGTGAGACCCAAGGTTGACGCGACACGGTATCGGGGTACCCCCTCCGTAAGTCGGCAGTCCGGCGCTGTGTGTGTTTGTGGTTCTCTCACGTCGTTTGAGAATCCACTCCACCACAATATCACTAACAAGGTTATCGACCTTAACTTGCTCTATACGAGAGCCAATGTCATTATCGACATCCAGTGAATCGCATTTACAGTTAATATCACTAACAAGGTCATTGAACTTAACTTGCTCTATACAAGAACCGATGTCATTACCGATATCCAGTGTCTCAATATTACTATGAATATCACTTAACGGAGTACGTGCCGTCCCACTAGGTGTCACTGATCTCTGCTCGACACGATTATTGTTGACATTGGAGTTTATCAACTCGGATTTTCTAATGTCCAGCACACTAACTGAATCAGTTAATGGCTTGCGCCAATAGCACTTTTGTTTCCTAGCGAAGGTGGGTTCATGACTCTCCAAAGCTTTGCTAGGAACATTGCGCGTTGCGCCTAAAGTTTTGTATCTCCAATCGATCCACGGCTCATGGCGTTCCAGCTAGGCCATACCGAGAATGAGATCATATTTCGAGTCCAAATCTAGGACAAGACAGCGTTCGACGCTATTGAAGTCTAAGAACTTCACACCTAAGCTCAACGGAACTTAAGGAACGGTGACACGTACGCCTGTTGCGAGACGCACGGTTATACTGTCACCCTCTTGCGCTTCTAGCGCCTCAGCATACAGCTTACTCCCTTCAAGGGAACGACGTCGGACATAATTACCTGACGCCCTGAGTAAATAAGAATTGACCATGGTTTTTCAAAACCCTTAACGGTTGCCGACACAACCAACAAGCCTGACTTGTAATCTTGTTCTATGGGAGCATCCACAGAACCACCTGGGGCTAAGCTCCGTTTACCCTTACCTCCTAAAGATTCACCAGAACTTAGTTCTTTCCCAGTAGGGCGCCCCGCGCCTAGTGGGAGTTGACGTTTTCCCCTGCGGTGCTCGCCTTTTGACTAGGAGCAGGGTTTCGGCTCTGCCGATTTGAACGTTGCTTTCGCAACGGGCAACTAGGACGGAGATGCCTAGTGCTTCCGCACATGTAACATCTACGGATGTTACATTGCTGCTCAGCAGCTTGAAGCTCAGCTTCTTCAGCATGACTGAGGTCCATGGGTTCCTCCCTGTTAGAGGTGTTTGATTGATACCAGGGCAGACCATATCGAGCAGATTTAAAATTAAATTCAACGTTAAATGCTATGCTTACCGCCTCTTCGAAAGTCGAAAGCTGAACACGAAAAACCTCCGTCCTAGCGACTACAGTACTACGTCCTTCCATAAAAATGGTTACTTGGACTACCTCTGCCAGAGGGTCCTGCTGCATAGCAGCAATAGGAGTCCTTAACTCTTAAACATAGTCCGACAATTCTTTCTTGCCCTGTCGGGTAGCTAAGAAGCGTAAGCGCACACGATAAGCCTGATTAGGCGGTGCAAACACACAAGTTAATTGCTTTTTAAGCATTTCCCATGTGGAGAATGTAGCATTTACAAAGAAATCGCTCGTTAGAGCCCACTCTCTAGCTCCATCCACCGAGGTGAATGAGAGAACTATATTGAAGGAACTCGGCAAAAGCTTAGAAATGGCCAGGCCAACTCGTTGCTTATATGACACAAGCATGGCGGCATCCATTGCCATTTCAACTTCTCGGATTCAGAGGAGAAGACTTTATCCCTCCTTCACCTCAAAGGTTTCAACGTTTAATCGATTGGGCGAGCCTTTGGCTCTGCATTGGGCACAGTTACAGGGATGTACTGTGTAGGCGCAGCTGACGCTGCCTGGTCATGGACCTGCCTGAGTAGCGTTGCTTCATAACGAATAAAGGCCTCAAGGCGAGCATTAAGGACCTCCGACCCTTGGGCCAAAAGGGCCTCGATTTGATCGGGCCCAACGAACGCAGATAATTTATCTAGCGCGCGAGTCGTTGCGCCTCAGAGAGGTGATTTTGACTCTCCATCCTCACATAGGGTCAGTCTTGAAAGTCTCAGGTGTAGGATTGACTACAAGTGCTACCAAGTGTAGCGGAGCAGCACAGCTCTTAGTCAGAGGAAGACTTTAGGCTGGAAGCCTCTTAGTTATAGAGACCTAGAACTAAATATATTTACGGCTAAAAGCCACTTAGTTCTAAGGAACTAATTAAAAGACTGAAAGTCACCCTGTTCTAAGGAACTAGGAAAGAGACCTTTAGTCAGTCAAGCTATAAGCTTAAGATTCAGAGAACCAACGCACAGAGTGCAAGAACAAGCTAGAGCTTAAAGGTTCAGAGAACCAACGCACGAAGTGCACAAGAGAACAAGTCAGAACGACTTGCGATCTTAAACTCAAAGTGAGAACTGATTTATTGATGCATTAAGATTTTATGAATAGTCCTACTCTAAGTACACTACACTAGATTAATTACTATAATAGTAATTATTGTATGCAGACTTTGCTATTGGACGACGTATCGTCTAAACATCTGTGTATGATGTACTTAGTACAGCGTTGTCGATTTATCGAATCCTAATCGATAAGATACGGTATTACCGAATACCGTATCTTTAACGCTCATACTTAATACCTCTGTAAAGAGAAGTATCATAATACATTATATGAAATAAAAGGAAGCTTCAACCGTAAACTTTCGGAATGATGTTACAACCGTCGTGTAACCCCGTTTCTAATGCTTGTGGAAGAGGTAGATTTGGCCTGTTTCCGACTTTCTAACATATGCTCTTCCTGCTTTATCGCTATAATGCAGGAAGAGTATCGTTTATGAATTTCTTACCTCAATATAACAAGGGTTTGCTAGACCTTGCCCATTTCAGCAGCGAGCCACTAGCACTTATTAACAAATAAAAAATGGAGCTTGTATTGATCTTAACAGGTGTGATAAAATTCTGTTGCTAGCTGAAACCTGTAGCTAGCTACAAAGAGCTTATCTATTGACATCTTAAGCCTTAGAAGCATGTTTTTCATACTGATCACCGAATGTAGACAGCGCAACTGACGTAGGCGTCTCGCTTTGGTGGTACGGCACAAAATCTTGTAATTTCACGTCATTAGGTCCTTTAACCTGCTCTATTTTTAGGTCAGCATTAATGACATATTTGTATGTCATTAATGCCATTCGTTATTCAGTAAAATTCATGCTTCATTGATCTGAATCATGAATTTAATTGAATAATAAATTTATAAATAATAACTAATTGAGACAAAAGAACTTGCTCATGATATTACTCACACTATGATACCAGAAGCATCTTGACCATTCCTGCTTCGGTGTCCCTCTAAAAGTAGCACTTCCTTCGAAAGAAAATTCGTGAGGTGACAGAAGCTCATTGTCGTTAGGTTAACTGAGGCATTGGTGTGCCTGATGAATCAAAACAAAACAGGCTTTTCTCCAGGCTTAATAATCCTTTTATGTGGTTCTTTACTAGTTCTGAATACATCATTTGTTTTTGTTTGAAGTAAAATTGTGGTGATAAAGGCTATAGTCAATAATTAATGATACATGATACATCGCCCGATTCAGATTCATGATTCATAAATCATATAAATGAATCAGATTTATGAATCATAACTCTGAATAGGAGGCCTAATCACGAGCTTACAAATTAAAACGTCGCTCGAAGCATTAGTTAAACTCGAGATCCATTGATCCATCCCGAGTATCCGGCTTTTTCTCGTAGCCCCGGTGAAACACATCAAGATTACGACATTTATAAGTAGTGTGAGTAGTGCACACATAATCGCAACAAAAATTTAAAAGCGGGCGCATAAATGAACTTATTAAACTTGATGATCGTGCAAAAGTGAGCGCACTATTATCAATAATCACAAGGACATTTTTACCCATTGCAGTACGTTGTTGCGTGCAACCAGCTGTTCGTAGCAACACATATGCTATAAAGGAACTGCAGAATTGAATAAAACGCAGGAGCACGCGGGTCAAGACGAGGCGAATACGTTATAAATACTGTCTTACCATTGTTGTGCTAACGAAAGAAACAACAAACTTAATTAAAATGATGATATGCTTTTGGTTGACATGGTTTTTGAGACTAGAGACTGGCAGCACTGCAACTGTCGGGAAAATGACAAGGAATATCCACAGTTCCCTAAAATTGGTTACGCTATAACAGATTGAAACTGCACTTTTTCCTGTTAAAAAAGTCGTTGATCTCTTGGCACCTCATGCAAATATTGATTGTGGAATGCTAGTGGCCACAATCGTTAAAGAAACGATACAGTGGTAGCAGCGATTAATTAGGGATCCAACACCAAGACGAGCAGATAAAGATAACACGAAATTCACGGTTCATTTTCCTGTGAAATTGTCAACTTAATTGTGGACATCCTGCTACTCCTCAACTCGCGTCTTCAGCAGTAATTTTACACCCGGTTGGATGCGTCTTTGGGTGTTGAGGCACCAGTTGGGGTGGACTCAACGTGATACCCAGCACCCGGATGACCGTGATTCACCACACCATCTGAGTCGCTATTTTCTCCGTTATGGCTACCACCCATGAAATTCTCGCAGCAGTTGAGTAAAAATGACACAAAGTATGCCAGTGACGCAAGAAACGTAAAGACAACCGCTGTCTTTAGCTGGTTGCAGCGCAACATGTAACCGTACACGGAACAGTTCGACACATAGTCGGATACAACCAAAACAATTCCAGCGACAACCAGCATGACTGCTAAGATAAAGTCGATCAGCTGCTCAATCCAGCGTGGGGTTGGACGCCGATAGAATTGCATCAGCTCTACAAGCAAGAGCATAAACAACCCCACAAGCATACCCGTGTAGGTCACTAGGGTCGTATATGTCGCCGCTCTGCTGCCCAACATACTTGAGTATCCATAGTACGAAGCCCCAACAAAAGCCCGCGACACTGTAGCAAGTGCTATCAGTGAAAAGGCGAATTGTAAGAAACGAAGCAGAGCTCGCGACCAGCGCATCATATCTCCACGAGCCATCTTTCGACTTGTCAAGCGTGTGGTAGTTGGGTGAATGTGTGCGTCGAAGCGTTTTGGAGAATGAAAATCGAGAGAGACAATTCGAGATACTAATCCGGGACAAGGCCATATTCGGGACGAGGCCATATTCGGGACATGACATCAATACATTTGGGACAAGAATTAACGGGATGCAGCCATTTTTTGTATTGAGCAGTTCCTTTTTATTTTGTGACGTATTCCATGTGACGTGGTACCCAAATGGCAAAGGTTTTACCAACCGCTTTCAGTGCCAAGATCGATGATGCCCACTCTTGCGTTCTTGTTTTTGTTTTTATTTGAAGAGTGAACGAAAAGCTGCGACGAATCCTAATGCGATCGAAACATCAGCACGATCGCCGTGAAGCTAATTACTATGCTTACCAGGAAAGGGATGCTAATAGTAAGGACAGTCTCCAGGGACATTGGACGGCTCGAACTACAATAGTGGATGGGTCTTCCAATTTATTGATGTCGCTGACAACGCAGAGCCATCGATGCCGCAGTCGGTGCCCCAAAATTTTCTTTCTAGACACGCAGAATGTTACACTGACCTTACCAGAGCCTTTTACCGTTGTTGATGCTGTGCTGTATTGTAGTTATGATGCGAGCGAATACCTTAATAGGTGCAAACACAAGTGACGCTATGTGAACCACTATTGTCAGATACCTATGACTGTAAGGAATTGATTGACTTGTAATTATGCTCATCGCAGACACTATCACAACGAAGGTTTCACGTTTATTGAGCCCTTACCTTATAAACAACATGCACAGAAGGACAGGAGTCGTGGCTCACACCTTCCACCAACTTGGCTCGTGCCTGTATCGTTGGTCAGAAGACTGATCATAATATTTTTTAGATGCTAAGCAAATTTATAAGTACGTGAGTCGAAAACGCGAATGATATCTACGAAAGCTTAACTGCATTAAGGTAATTTAGATTATTTCGAAGCATGAAGCTCGAGCACATGCTCTTATTGCAGAATAGCCATGTACGGTTAGAAATCGTCTATCGAAGACGATAAACTTTCGCGTCAGCCTAACTCCATTATGGGATGTCACAAAAGCTGCATTCGTCCAAATACTTCAGTAAATTCCGTGTCAAAATTTGGCAATTTTTTCACATGTTCACAAAAATATGACTTTACATCAACTGGAGTCATTGAAGTCCCGTGTAAAAGAGAAGATTCACGACTTTGGACACAAGCTACTGTATTCTACTTTATCGCTATAGTGCAAGAATAGTATCTTTTTTTCTGCTCTTCAAAAACAACAAGAAATAGGTAGACCTTGCCCCGATATGACAACAGAGAACTGGCGATACTAGAAAGAGAACAGATTTTTCTACACTGATAAGTGCAAGATATCTGCTAGGTAGTAGACCGCACTAGCAACGATGGAGGGTCCAACATTGCCTGTAACGGGGTTACACGACGGTTGTAGCGTCTTTCCGAGAGTTTACGTTTGATGTTTCCTTTTATTGCATACGAGGGTATTTACCCGTCGTTCCGACGGATACCCCTACAGTACATGTATACTGGTCAATCACTCTGCTTAGAATATCAGCTTGAATTAGGTAATATTCTAAGCAGAGTGATTGACCAATTAATAGGTATTAAAGTCAATGTGTATTCAGCCCAATGTAAACCCGTCGTTCCGCCGGGACGAATTTCTGGAACGCGTTGATATACAGTTATTTACATTTAGATAATGCCTACACCCTAGTGGATCGATACACGATTGCATCATGTTTCATAGACCCACCTCTTTTATGGTGTTCACCTGTCGTTCTGATGGTGCGAAGATGAATATATTGGCATGTTAAACGCAGTAATTTGCTAGGGTGTATACCCGTCATTTCGACGGATATAGTGCGCGAGTCGACGCCTGTAATATATTGACCTTTACATCATCGTTTTAACATTTTGGTTGACTACATTAAAATGATGATATAAAGGTGAATGTGTACTCGTCGTTACAACGGACATGGTGATTGAACTTTGCCTTTTGACCTTCGAGCCCAACATTTTACTGAACACTATTAAGGTAAAGTGATGGGTATGACATTCAATGTGCACCCGTCGTTCCGACGGATAGTAGCGTGCAGACCGAATATATAGATCTAAATATGCATAAAGGACCGAATGCAATTTTTTCTATGTGTGTCAATCAATTTTTAATACAACCTTTTGCCTGCGTGCAGCTTTTGGTAGTGCCCATTGTTCCGTCGGATAGGGGCGCGATTCTAATCTGATAGTACCCTGGCCCACCATAATATATCTTAAATTAGGGATGCTCACTCGTCGTTCCGACGGGCATGGTGAGCAAACATCTGCTAAATAAACTTCGTACTCACTTATTATTCTGGTTGAGTCAGGTAATTGCTACATATGATATGAAAGGCAAGGTCTACCTGCCGACGCTGGTCAATGTGTACCTGTCGTTTCGCAGGTCAATATGTACCCGTCGTTCCTACGAACACAGTAAGCGAAGTATGCTTTTAAATTTCGTATAATCAGTCATCTAAATTAATCTATGGGTATGAAGGTGAACGTGTACTCGTCGTTCCGTAAATTTCCATTTCATTATATTACACGACAATCGGAATTTTATTGTAATGATTTTACGATATAGATTTCAGTCATGCTATCCATTTTTACATATAGATGACCGACAGATTTATTGCATAACATCATACGTCGATCCGTATATGTTGGTTATCTTTAGGTGTGTCAAACAATTTTTGATGCAACGTGTACAACTGACCTGCTCGCACTAATATGTATAATCAGCCAATCCAAAATTAGCAAATAATGCAAAAGTAGCCAATCCGAATGCCGGAAAAGGATCAAACAGACAGACGGACGGACAGTAAAGTATTATTATATAGACGAGGGTGTGTACCCGTCGTTCCGACGGACATGGTTTTATGCTATTAATAATACATATATAGGGGTGTTCCCGTCGTTTCGACCGATAGGTGCACAAATTTGACGCTGATCGTATATTGACTTAGGTAATTGATTAGTTCTAAAAGGTAATGTGTATGAAGGTCAATGTATACCTGTCGTTTCAAAAGTTAGGGTGTTACCCGATGTCTCGACGAACATGGTGCATGTAAATGTTCCTACCCATTTCCTATTATTTAGAATATCCGGTTGACTCTGTAAGTGATGGGTGTGAAGCTTAATGTGTACACGCGCTCTGTGAATTTTTCTGTTCATTGTTATAGCATGATAAACGGAGTAATTATATAGATTATGCTATACAAATTTCAGTCATAATACCCATTTCTATGGATGGATGTCCGACAAAATAGATTGCTAGACCTCATAAAAATTACTAACTAATATAACAATGTATAACAATGATTGAAATGTGCTTACGTTAATGCAAATAAGTAATGGTGTTCACCCGTCGTTTCGACGATCGATAGGTACACATTTTACTTATCCATTTATATCATCCATAGACATAGTCACAATGACTTGACCCAACCAGATATTTGAAATTGAATTAATGGTTCAATATACCGACCTTCACTAAATTTCATACTTATCAGCTTACGTAAAGCAACCTGATATTCTAAGGAAAGTCAAAGGAAAGTATAAATACTGGCAGCGCATAATATGTGCACCTATCGTCGGTCAATGTATTGACATGCCAGTTGGTATAACAGATTGTCCCTCTGCCAGCCAATGGCGTGTCAGTATACCTGCCATTTCGCAGGTCAATTTGTACCCGTCGTTTCGCATGTCTATGTGTACCCGTCGTTCTGACGGACACAATAAGCGAAGTCTATCGTTTAATATTCGTACCCATCTATTTACTTCTATGTATCCGGTTCAATACGGTAAAGTGATGGGTATAAAGGTGAATGTAATCCCGTCGTTCCGTAATGTAGAATATACGGTTGACTCAGGTAAATGAATAAGTATGATGCATTACATATGAGTCGATTCGCTTTTTGTAACTGCATCCACTTGAACCTTATCACTACGCTTGCTTTTGCCACTATTTAGTGTATTATATGAGAACGGAGCCCATGTTTTGACTAACGAAGTGAAAGTATGTGCCTCATCTACTCTCCTAAAAAATCTATGTTTGATATTGCAATATGTAATGATACATATGAACATTTACGCTTCGTATATTCAATTTATGGATATAAGCACGACATAAGGACACCCAGGGATGGACTAAATCATATTATGGAATTCTGCTCTCGTAACAATATATACAAAATGCACATACAACACATATGGGTCACATCACTTATTGTAAGCAGCTTTAATATAATCTGATGAGAACGCTTGCTTTTGCCAACTTTCTAGTGTAATATTCAAGCACTGAGCCCATGAATTAAAATGATGATGAAGCATGTGTCTCACCTTTTTTTTTATAAATAAGCTGTGTTTATATCTAATATGAACACGTATGTGTGCAATCGTTTTGTATATAAGTGTTATAGATAGAAGCACGACCAATGGATACTCTAATATGGAAATCACACATGCAATTATCAACACAAAAAGGCAAACTCTGCTAATGGAAAATGAGCCAAAAATGCATAGTCAGCCAATCCAAAAGTAGCAATTAATGCAAAAGTAGCCAATCCGAATGCCGGAAAAGGATCAAACGGACGGACGGACAGTATTCTTTTATTATATAGACGAGGGTGTGTACCCGTCGTTCCGACGGATACTTCTACAGTACATGTATATTGGTGAATCACTCTGCTTAGAATATCAGCTTGAATTAGGTAAATTAAGAGTTATCAAAGTCAATGTGTATTCAGCCCAATGTAAACCCGTCGTTCCGCCGGGTACAAATTGACGAATTTCTGGAACGCGTTGATATACAGTTATTTACATTTAGATAATGCCTACACACTAGTGGATCGATACACGATTGCATCATGTTTCATAGACCCACCTCTTTTATGGTGTTCACCTGTCGTTCTGATGGTGCGAAGATGA